CGCTAGGATTCGAAAAAGCTAAATTTATAATCTCTAGAGACACGAAGATTAAGATGGGACATGATATTCAAGGATATAAATGGGTATAAAAAGGAGATGTAAATAAGATTTTAAATACGTCAACACCAAAATATAACTTGAAACAATGGATATAACTGGAGAAAATTAGTTTCAGGAAAGACCTGGGGTAAATACTGGTTCGGAAACAGTTGTTGATCTGTGGAAGAAAATTACCGGGTAACAATAAACGCGGGATCCCTAGATTGTTTCAAGCGTAGGTTAGACATATATATGAATGAGGATGCTGTCTTGTATGGGCTAATATAGGCCTTCCTACGTTCCTTGATTCATATAGTCGACGTTAAACCAACGCAAGCTCAACGTTAAATGAACACAAGATCAACGTTAAATCAACGCAAGATCAACGTTAAATCAACGTAAGATCAACGTTAAACCAACACAAGATCAACGTTAAACCAACTCAAGATCAGCGTTAAACCAACGCAAGATCAACGTTAAACCAACGCAAGATCAACGATAAATTAACGCGTGATTAACGTCAGATCAACAGCATTGGTTCAGAGTTACAGCAATGTCGGTTGGCCAGATTTGTCGAGCAAAATCCTACCTTCATAAGTTCTTAAATTAAAATATAGTCACAATTTACAAATACGTAAGACATTTTAAAATGTTAATAATGTTTTAATAACACTAAAGAAAGCGAGAACGCCTGCCAGTTTTGTATTTAGATGGGCTATAGTAGCATTGAATGAATGTGTGAATGCTTGATGTATGTTTGACGGGTGTGGGGGCCCATATGACTGGTGGACGGGTGTGGAGGGCCCATATGACTGGTGGACGGGTGTGGGGGGCCCATATGACTGGTGGACGGGTGTGGGGGGCCCACCTGACTGGTGGACGGGTGTGGGGGGGGGCCCACCTAACTGGTGGACGAATGTAGGACTGTAATAAATATCAGCTAACCATGACTCCTCTGGTTACTACACTAGGAATAGACAGGGATTGGTGGTAGGCTGTGGGAGAGTGGTTTGGGGTATAACATACCCTGGGTATCATCGACTTCTGAGATAGGAGGAGTAAAGGGAGGGAGATGAGAGTCAGTAGCAGGGCAGTGCTCGCATCGCTGATAATATTTATCGTAACACCTGTTAGGAATTCCTCTCGGGGCCTTGAGCGTGGCGACTGATTGTTGACATCAACACTCATCTCCGTGCCAGAAGGGCGCGGACGTGCCACATTTGAGTGGGTCAGGCGGTGACGAGGCTCATTTGTTGCTACCATACACATCAAGAATAAAGTATGTTTATTTTTAGGCTCACGATAATAATTGGAGTTTGAATCACGTTAGTTAACATAGACATATTGCATAAGCTATAATCTTTCAATGTTTTTAAGGACAAGAAACAATCGTCGTTGATAAAAAATAATCAACGTAGCTTCGTAAATCTCAACCAAAAAAAAGGAGGACAAATCACAAAACAACTTTTACTTCAAAATACATTAATAAAATACTGTAAACTAACCCATAAAGATTGAACAAGATGTACAGGTTTCGCAAGAGGTTACATAAATGTTTGATGAACTCTGAAGCAGTTCCGCTGCCCTCTGTCCTTGGCAAGGAAAAAATATAATTATCTGGCGACAAAACTTATTATAACACCGTTGCTGTGAGATCAATAAAATAATTTCAGAGTAATTAACCAACTGTGTAACCTGTCAAGTATCTGACCAACCCGCTTTCTCAGTAGCACGTCGCATTTTGACGTACACTTTACGTAAGGCCCCCCCCCAAAAAAAAAACCTGTAGTACTAGACTAGGATAGCAGAACGCGAAATTGACATTCTGTCCCGTTTTCTGTTGTGGGTCCTCTGGTAAGTTAGGATTAAGGCACTTTAATACGACAGTTTCTTGACGTTAGGGAGAACGGGCTGACCCCGGAATCATCGTATTGGTTCACTTGAAGTTGCTGGTGCCTGTGTTTGGACTGGACATCATGGTCTTGTGGAAACGTGAAACTATAGGAATCTCTACATTTTCGTATGACTTAGAGAACAGTAGTTCCAAATTGAAATGCTTTTAAAGACACTTAATTTGTGTCAGCGTACTACAGGTGTGTGTGTGTGTGTATGTGTTATGAGGGGTTTAAACTGCTGTTAGTGGATAGTGGTATGAGGGGTTTAAACTGCTAGTGGTATGGAAGTAATTTTTGGGAAAGGATGTAATAAAATCATGTGTTGGCAGAGACAAAGTTTGGATAAAACGAACAGAGATGAAAACGGGCCTCAGCATAACAATACCCTTAAGGATTATTGGATAAATATTAGGAGTCTTCCGATACAAAATTGAGGATTTAAATGCTCTTGTCTGCACAGAAACACAATACGGGCTCACCATAGCCCGTGCTACTTGGAACTTTTTGTTCCCAGTAGCTGAATCTTTAAGAAACAACAGAAACATTGGATATTAATGCAGTACTCGACAACAGGGAGCCATACCACGACGGCACTGTACCTAACGCTACAAGCGATAATGGCGTTGCTATCTCGATTACTGATCATAATATGGCCCTTCACTCAAAGGGGTGATCATTGGATAGTTCAGGCGAGGCTGAAGCATGTATACTGAAGTGCAGCCTCACAGAAAACGGACCCAAGATCCCCTGAAAGAGGGGAAGCACTGATGTTTATTGAGTGCTCTGCAGTGTGCAGTATCTCTTCTTATCAACACTTGAGAATAACTCAGAGTTCACTCGAAATCTGAAGTGATGCTTAGCATTTTGTTTCTCTCGCATGTTATCGCTGAATATATATAAGGTTATTAAGATATTTACATACAAAAGGAGCTAAGCGCAGAACTTACAATGGAAGGCATTTGGGCATTTGGAAATTGCCGTATTTGGGTTCAGTGTATTCTGAGAGGAAAGAATAGCGGAAGAGAGAGAGAGAGAGAGAGAGAAAGAGAAGGTGGGTGGGAGGGATTGTGCAGTAATAACGGAGGAAGAAAATGTCAAATACTGTATGTGTATAATCTCTGATAATTTTGTGCATGCAATGTCTCTTGTAATATCTTCGGGACATCTACATGGCCGGGTGGCCGCTAAAATAAGACCCCGCCAAAGCAGCAAGTTCTCATGACATCTAGGAAGTCCCAAGGCGATGATAATGAATGACTCCTCACAACATAACCAAACAAGTTAATGTGCATGTAACTTGAACTTAAACCCTTAAACAATGGTTAACAGACTAGATAAGGACGCCAAACTATTAAGGGGCTCCCATTACCCTTCAAAGCTGCTTTACATTTTACTTAAAAATATTAAACGTTTTAACATCACAGCATTCAAAAGAAAACTATTTTGCACCAAACTACACACACGACATAGTCCACGGAATTGGGGTTACTTTACCTGAATTTACCTGAGGGGACACCATTTTAGTGGTGCGACCTGAACAACTAAAAACAATAAGACATATGAGGAACATAACACAGGAATAGAGGGAATACCAGGCCTGTCCACAGAGGCATGTATGAACCTAATCACATACGCGGCATATGCAACGCTGGCAAACATCCCAGCAGCTTTCGGAAATCTGATCATTTAGGGTACTGAACCCAACCTATGAGAGACCACTATTGAAGTATGCAGCTCATATATCGGGAAGGTTCTCAAGATATGCTACAAGACTGGTTCTAGAACTCTTAGGATTGAAGCACTAGGAGAGAGAAGACATGAATGGGATGTGTACGATCCTAAGGAATATTTCTACAGTAAAACACAATAGAATGTTTAGGAGGTTTAACAGTAGATCGAGAGGCCATCGAAATGAGTACAGACGCACGTGAATCGTGTGGGTGTGAGAAAGGACTAGGCAATCGAGGCTAATACTATACTAAGGATTTAAATATCTACTGAATTGAAAATCATTGCATTAGAAGACCAACATCAGAAAAGGCGGGTCCCAAGAGCAGACGTTCGGCTCAGCAGGCCCAATAAGACAAGTATAAGCTCCCACTTGGGGCACTGTTCCTTCCCTTTATCCTATCCCAGCTTATATCCTGTTCTTACATCCCTTCTACGTGCTAAGTAGTCATGCTAGCCTAGCGCATTCTCCTCAAAATTACCTTGCAAAGCCTGCAGTCTCGTTCGCCTGGCAGCCCCGTTATCTCGTCAGCTATCACTAAAACTAGTGTAGAATGATAACCACTCAAGACTTTGTATGGTGAAGCACTTGTATCCGGAGTGGTCTCCAAGACACACTCTGAATTGCATTCCAAAATATCCCTTGATGGAGTTTGTGTTATGTGGGAAATTCCTTCTTTCGTAGTGATATGTTTTGCAACACTTCAAAACGTGTTTACATAGTGATCGGTTATCAAAACAAACTTAACCACGGGACTGTTCTTGGTGTTCGGATTTCTGGAACCTAAATTGTCCCCTTACTGTGTGATGGTCGCGATGATGGCAAAGCTTTGAGTAAGAGTCCCAGTGCTCCTAATCTTGTAGATACGAGGTTATTCCCAGGAAGCGTGTCTATACTTTACCGCCTGGTGGATCACGTTAACACACACACACACACACACACACACACACACACACACACACACACACACACACACACACACACACACACACACACACACACACACACACACTAGCTAAACACAGATGCCGAAGAAATATAAGAAAATTCACTTTCGCAAACAGAGTGGTAGACGGTTGGAACAAGTTAGGTGAGAAGGTGGTGGAGGCCAAGACCGTCAGTAGTTTCAAAGCGTTATATGACAAAGAGTGCTGTGAAGACGGGACACCACGAGCGTAGCTCTCATCCTGTAACTACACTTAGGTAATTACACACACACACACACATTGACACAAGATAGCCTACCTGGCCGTGGGCCCCAGAGCCCAAGAAAAAGCACAGCACGTGCGGTGAACATGCACAGTGACGCTACGATATCTGCCAGACGCAAAGATTTCACCATTCCTGGTAGCCTCTTGGTAGTGCAGGCGGCGGGCTCTCAGTCTGCCCCGGACCGTGCGAGTGGCCGCTGTACCTCGGGCTCCTCATGCAAGCGAACTCTGATATATCTGATTTATTGCACAAACCTCGAGCAGAACTTGTCTCAAACGTGACACACATATAAGATGAGTTAACAACTGGTAAACATGGATGAAATTAGTATGATGGTGATTGTGTGGGCGTGTTAATGGACTCGAAGTGCTTGCGGGTGGTTGGGCTTTGACTCTTTGGTCCCGCCTCTCAAACTGTCAACTGGTGTACCGATTCCTGAGCCTACTGGGCTTTTATGATGTGTGTGTTTCCAAGATGTAGTGCAAGTGTTGGTCAAGACGGGAGGAAGAGTGGAGTGTCTAGCGTGAAGGGTGAGTGTATATGGTAGAGACAGTGGTCTCAGTTCACAGGACCACTCCTGTATTAAACTCACGCACCTCGTCTCAGCCTCAGCATTTAAAACTATTTAAATTTGATAAATGTTATATTTGATTTGATTTTTGTTTAACTAGAAGTGTTTTTCTAAACGTACCATTAGGCCAAACATTAATATTAGTGCTTTTACTTAAACTAAAGCACCGGAATTTTAACTGTAAAAGCAAAACAAAAATTGGTATGGATATGAGAGTGAGAAGAGGTCGGTATAGGCTTTCCTTGCCACTATTAAGGTCGGATCTTCCCTTTCAATCATTAATGATTCTCGCAGTTATTAAATTTTGTCCGTGTTAACGGGAAAAAAAATAAATAGTGCCAACCCACCTCGTCAGTTCCAGTTACGTTCACAGTTGATGCAGTGCCATAAACCTATCAGAGCGTTGATACTATATTTTATAGTATCAACTATATATATACCATGCCCGAAACGCTTATCGTAATAGTGGCTTTAGGTATTATATGTACTAGCTCTATCTTTAAATTCCAACATTATGTTTGTAACTCATCTTCAATGTATGTACCTTTACCTGAATAAAAAAATCTAAATCTATATCATAAAGAAGACACTCACACACTTAACTCACACGAATGAGTGATGGAAGTATCGGTGCGTCCTCTACCACTTGTGATTTGGTCTTGAACATGTCCATTGGCTGGGGTTTATTTTCCTTTAGCCACGTGATTATGACTCAGGAAGAGCAAGAGGTGTGTGTGTGTGTGTGTCGCACGGGACATTCCTACTGGCTTCGTAATCCTTGAACAAACATATGAAGGCCTGATGCGGGGCGCAGTCCCGTGTCGGGGTCAGCTTATTAAGGCCGACATGCTTCAGCTTAGGGGGCGGGGCGCTAGGCTTTGCTATCTTGGCCTCTACTCTGTAGCACAATATCCTGCTCTATTCCTCTGCAGCATTATATCCTGCTCTATTCTCTGTGCACAGAATTATCCTGCCTACAGTACTATTCTGTATACAATATTATCCTGCTGTCCTTTCTACAGTACAATCCTGCTCTATCCTTTGTCTATAGCACTATCCTGTTGCCAGGCTCCCCAGAACTAGCCTGCACCTGTGACGAAGACATTGTCTCTTCTTACCCATATTTACCCTTAAAACCTATTAATACCTCCCCACCTAACCTACTCCATAAAGACTTAAACAAACCTATAAAGACCGAGTGAGGCCCGACACCGTTTAGTCTTTAGTCATCAACCAAAACAAACTACGATTGTATTTTTACAAGCAGAACAGTTTGGCGCGTGGATACACAGGGTCCGTGACCTTTGTGGGATACAATCTTTCCTCTCGAATACTACATCGCATTTTGACGTATAAATATCCCAACGGCCATAATATGATGTATTATACATCATAGCGGATTGGCAAATTGACGGGTGCTCTGCGATGGAAGAGGTTCCAGGTCTTGCCACGATTGGGGGTCGCTGGGTACTATGGTGCTGGCGTCAGGGGGGGTCGCTGGGTACTGTGGTGCTGGCGTCAAGGGGGGTCGCTGGGTACTGTGGTGCTGGCGTCAGGGGGCCGCTGGGTACTGTGGTGCTGGCGTCAGGGGGGATCGCTGGGTACTGTGGTGCTGGCGTCAAGGGGGGTCGCTGGGTACTGTGGTGCTGGCGTCAAGGGGGCCGCTGGGTACTGTGGTGCTGGCGTCAGGGGGTCGCTGGGTACTGTGGTGCTGGCGTCAAGGGGGTCGCTGGGTACTGTGGTGCTGGCGTCAGGGGGGTCGCTGGGTACTGTGGTGCTGGCGTCAGGGGGGCCGCTGGGTACTGTGGTGCTGGCGTCAAGGGGGCCGCTGGGTACTGTGGTGCTGGCGTCAGGGGGGCCGGTGGGTACTGTGGTGCTGGCGTCAGGGGGGCCGCTGGGTACTGTGGTGCTGGCGTCACGGGGGTCGCTGGGTACTGTGATGCTGGCGTCAGGGGGGTCGCTGGGTACTGTGGTGCTGGCGTCAGGGGGTCGCTGGGTACTGTGGTGCTGGCGTCAAGGGCCCGCTGGGTACTGTGGTGCTGGCGTCAGGGGCCCGCTGGGTACTGTGGTGCTGGCGTCAGGGGGGGCCGCTGGGTACTGTGGGCTGGCGTCAGGGGGTCGCTGGGTACTGTGGTGCTGGCGTCAGGGGCCCGCTGGGTACTGTGGTGCTGGCGTCAGGGGGTCGCTGGGTACTGTGGTGCTGGCGTCAGGGGCCCGCTGGGTACTGTGGTGCTGGCGTCAGGGGCCCGCTGGGTACTGTGGTGCTGGCGTCAGGGGGTCGCTGGGTACTGTGGCTGGATTTGTTTGACCCAGTGTGGAGTTGAAAAGTTTGTAAGACACGGTCATACCCAAGAAAATTGCCTAAACCTGAACTGAATTGGAATCATTACTTCCTCAGAGGGAATCGAACTCTGGTTTCGCTGTCTGCTGAGCCATCATCATAACCGCTCCGCCAACAACATCCGGTCTATATCCATCATATTGTTCCACGTGTTTTACCAATTAACAGTTAATTTCCGTTTCCAATTTCCATCTGTGTCTCCGTCGTTCTAGTTGTCCTAGATGCGTCCCATAACAGTTGTCTAACTCTCGGGCTGCAGGTGAAAGGAAACTAAGTTACCAAAATGTTCACCAACAAACTGTCCCGCCACGGAAACTGAACCCGTGACCTGACTGCGTTAATCACTATTCTACAAGACATACTAATCTCCTTAAATCGCCCCCCCCTCCTCCATTCTAGGATTACACCTGTGCAGCCTCAATGGGTCGCGTTTTTTACGTTAAATAACCAACGTCAGAAATGCATCCTACTACGAAAAGTAGCAGCCGACAAATATCTATACGTTTTCTATGCATCGGACTCGTCAGGTTAGGTGGGTTGCTTGGGTTCGTTTTGTTTCGGTTAGGTCGGCAGGTTAACGCCAAGTGCCCTTGAAAATTTCAAATGTGAGCGGAGGGTCCACCCTTGCCTGGGGGGGGGTTACTTAGGGAGGGGGTTGGTGAAGGCCCCCCTCTCCCCCCTTGTCTGCTTCCCCCCCGTTATACAGTCTGCTGCATCAGCGTGACTTCGAGGCGGAGTCAGCGTGACGCCGCCAGCTCACAGGTCTCAATACTTAGAGTGCACTCCGCAGGATGAGTCGTTAACACTCGGGATGCCTCCGGTCAGAGGTCAACTGCCGATGATAGCCATTCTGTGTGATTATGTATTTTCGTTTTGGACTCCATAACTATCGTTGTTATTGGGGGGTCTGTACCCACTCCCGGCCCCAGCCATAGTTCGTTGTCACACTGGTGAATATGGCCCTCAGTGTTTTGTGGGGTCATCGGCCGGATATAGTCTATCGGCCGGATATCAAGCCATTTGTAAATATAATATCCATAGTATCATACAGTTCCAGCTCCTGGTTAGGATTTGTGGCACCCGAGGCACTTGATGACACAGGGAAGATAACCTCGAACAAAACTCTTGTCGATGTTGTATGTGAAAAAACTTTGAAGCCATTAAAGGCAAGAATTAAATATGATCCAAGAGGATGAAGAAAAAGTTAAGAGAACGGCATTGTTTACGACAGCAGTAACACACTGAAGCATTATGCAATAATACGGACTACACGGATTCCTGGAGAGGACAAAATTGATGATGGCTTATGGGGTTTTAGTTACAGCGCTCACGAAGAAGGCCGAGTGTGACGGGCCATGATTAGAGAGGCATGAACACACACAGTACTTCCTAACCCGTGATGATGCATTATGTATACCGTAATACATTACACACCCGCGACTTGAGAATGGTCCATGACGGACTGAAGCGTCGTCGTCTCTCCATGTTAAATTTAAATTTTGCCCCAAGGGGCGAGTTTATTGGGCAGCGCCACTCATCTTGTGAGTGAACATACCTCTGGTCATCATATCTTCAGCCACATTATTGCATCATACATGGTCATCGTCTACATATGCATTATGTAAATATCTGTGATTAAATGTTCCATAAAATGTAGGTGTAACAATAAAAAAGAGGTTGATAGGACTGTGGAGGCGGGAAGCCTCACGACTGGGTACTAGGCTAGGTGACGCATGCGTGGAAGCCTCTTTTTTGTTTTGTTTTATACTAACACATTAAGGTACATCTGCATTTGTGCAGCTGTCCTAAACTATATGAAGGGGAGTACAGTGTGTGTCACAAAACTACGTGATGCTAAACATCCCCCATCACACAGGGTGGTTAGTCATACAGGGCCATGTGATCAGTAGCCTAAACAGGCAAACTCTGGGAGCATTATGAGGATATCATCATCAACACGAGAGTGAATAAGGCAGCAGTGATATTGAAAGTCCCCATCTCGCAGGATAGTTAGTCATACTAACTATAATCACAGTTGGGAGTTATAGACAGCACCGTCTCTGCTCCAAAGGACAGGAGTGACGGTCCTGTCAACAATCGTCACGGGTTACAAATCTTATCAGCGTCGAGGACTCTGTAACACCTGTTTGTTTAAACTCTACCCTTGATAACTGAACTAAATATTGTAACACCAATGTTTACCAACTAACTCTTGATAACTCCACTAGCTATTGTAATGTACAGTGACTTGTCTCCTCCTTGGTGGTGAGAAGTAACCAGATGTTGTTGTTTTAGATTTAACTACTCAGAACGAGATGTCCATGTAGCACGGGCTATGGTGAGCCCGTGAGTAACCAGAGTGAAGGAATAAGTAAGGATAAGATGAAGGAGAGGAGTGGGTGAGAAGGTGGAAAAGGTAGAAAACAAGGACACGGAGGGAGGAATAGAGGTTAAGAGAGGTGGGTGAGGATAGAGGGGTAGGAGGAGTAAGGAAGATAGAAGTAGGAGTAGAGTGACTCAAGATTTACGGGCTATTCATGCCCGTGCCACCTCTTGGGTGGTTTAATCTTTATCAATCAATCGACTCAAGATGTTAATAACTTTAAATATTTATACTGCCACCAACCTGTCCCCTCCCCTCTCTAGGCACACACAGCACCGCTCCTGTGCCAGGTAAGTCCACTACGGGCTCACCATAGCCGGTGCTACTTGGAACTTGTTCAGAGTAGCTGAATCTATAACAACAACAACAACCAACCAACCTGTCAGTTTACAGCCATTGTTCATGCCTGCTAAACAGTGCGGCAGGAAGCATCATTTACTGAATCTTTACTGAATAAATGCCTAAGTAACCAGTGGCTCCGCAGGTTGGTGTGAGGTGCCGTCTCACTCGCCACCTAGCCATGCCGCACCTCCTCCCTCATCACCAGTGGTAATGTATTTTACTCTAACTTTCATGAGGGGTGATGAGCATTACTGCTTTAAAACATTATATATACGATATCTATAAAAAAAAAGGATTTATGAAAACCCAAGATTGTTATTCAACAATTAGCTGTTTAATACACCAAAATTACTTCCATTTTTGAGCTATTTAATACTAGTTCTGCACTTCTGAACATTTTAATTAACAAGGAATCGACCACTGCACACACTCATATCCCACACTTGGTGACCTGGCCCAGCCTACACTTATTCACCAAGACACTCTGGTTCATGACAATGAATAACTGGCACTCTTACCTCACTACGTTCACCCAGGTATGGGTGATAGCTGTTCACCCACCCGGGTGGGTGATAAATGGTCACCCATCCGGGTGAAGGAATTGATTTGATGTACTCTCCCATGCAAAAGCTCCGACTCTGATCCACAAGCCACTCCCACGGGAGAGTACATCCTTCTCCCCCACGGTGGAAGGATGTACTCTCCCGTCTTGACTCTATATATAAGGGCGGGGAACATGCTAAACTGACAGTACAGTTACAGCACCGCTCCTGTGCCAGGTAAGTCCACAACGGGCTCACCATAGCCCGTGCTACTTGGAACCTTTTGTTCCGAGTAGCTGAATCTAAAACAACAACAACAGCTAAACTCACTCGTATAGCACCACACTCTGAAGCCGTTGTTGTTTCACATTTCGCTACTCAGAACGAGGTGTCCATGTAGCACGGGCTATGGTGAGCCCGTAAACCTCTGAAGCCAGTACAACGAGCTGCTATGTATTGCTAGCACAGCTGGTGCCAGCTAATGCTCGCATGCCTCACCACCTCACACACACACACTCACAAACACACACACACACAACACACTACTACTCACAACTCACAATTATAACATGAAACAGGGTAATACACTTACACTGTTACACCTCCACAGCACGATATACTAAGCTATTTTTAATGGGAGCAAAACCTCGAACAGCTAAAACTGAGAGAACATTAATATTTCTCTAGTCTTCTAGGCTACGCTACTTTATTTTTAATGAAGCGAAGGTTAGGGGACTTGTTACATGGGTAGGAGAGAGAGTGAGAGAATGAGAATAGTGATGGTAATAGATAATAGACAAAGACAATAAATAAGTGTATGACACAGCAGACAAAGAACATGTTCACGTCAACCCATTAATTTTCTTCCCTGCGGCACTCCTTTGTTTCTTCAGTCCAGATGACCTTCAGCAACTTCTGCAGGCGGCGCTACTGAGGCCACTGGAGGGTCAGCGTCAGGGGGGCCGCTGGGTACTGTGGTGCTGGCGTCAGGGGGGCCGCTGGGTACTGTGGTGCTGGCGTCAGGGGGGCCGCTGGGTACTGTGGTGCTGGCGTCAGGGGGGCCGCTGGGTACTGTGGTGCTGGCGTCAGGGGGGGCCGCTGGGTACTGTGGTGCTGGCGTCAGGGGGGCCGCTGGGTACTGTGGTGCTGGCGTCAAGGGGGCCGCTGGGTACCGTGGTGCTGGCGTCAGGGGGGCCGCTGGGTACTGTGGTGCTGGCGTCAGGGGGGGCCGCTGGGTACTGTGGTGCTGGCGTCAGGGGGGGCCGCTGGGTACTGTGGTGCTGGCGTCAGGGGGGCCGCTGGGTACTGGGGTGCTGGCGTCAGGGGGGCCGCTGGGTACTGTGGTGCTGGCGTCAGGGGCTCGCTGGGTACTGTGGTGCTGGCGTCAGGGGCCCGCTGGGTACTGTGGTGCTGGCGTCAGGGGGCCCGCTGGGTACTGTGGTGCTGGCGTCAGGGGGGCCGCTGGGTACTGTGGTGCTGGCGTCAGGGGGCCCGCTGGGTACTGTGGTGCTGGCGTCAGGGGGGCCGCTGGGTACTGTGGTGCTGGCGTCAGGGGGCCCGCTGGGTACTGTGGTGCTGGCGTCAGGGGGGCCGCTGGGTACTGTGGTGCTGGCGTCAGGGGGCCCGCTGGGTACTGTGGTGCTGGCGTCAGGGGCCCGCTCGGTACTGTGGTGCTGGGAGAGACGAGGAGGAGGTCGGTGGAGGGAGAGGGGGAAGCCAAGAAGGGACACAGACAAGAGACAAAGTCAGAGCCAAGCGGCCGGGACCGGCGGGAGGAGAAGAACCTGTCCTGTAGCTTGCCTCGCCGTCATTCTCATGCCGATTTGCTTGATTGCTTTTGCTTCGTGCGCTTGCCTGCACGCGCGTGTCTGTTAGTTTATGAATTCAGATATTTCTCCAACGCCTTTCGTGGACAACCAGGAATAATATGGCGGTGGGCGCGAACGTTCTGTCTTCTGGGAATTAACACAGTCGCTGCACTGAGCAAGCCCCCGTGACATTTTAACAACCTTTGAAGGATTCTTGGCGTCCGCGTCACTTAATTGCCAATTATACGCGTGCGCACGCTCTCTATCCTCATTACCCATCGACTTATATATTTAGACATGCGAACTACAGGCTTGTGTCCCCGTTTGTACTGACGTGTAGGGTCAGTTGGACACATACACTAGTATTCCTTTTCGTTCTAAGATAAAGGCTCTAAGATTTCGTTCTTAGAGAGAAGATGAGAGAGAGAGTTCTAAGAGACTTTGCTCCAGGCCGGTGTGAGTAGTGAAGAAATTGGTTTCGCCAAGACAAGACCATTTCTGACCACATGAACAAACCTCACAGCCCGGCTTGGAAGATTTCCAAATATTTGCAGCCTCAGTGGAATGCAAATCCTAGAGGTGAGGCGGCATTAGGAAGTGTGAGGTACAAAGTCCTAAGGACACAATACCACAACTATGAGGGGCAAGGAGAGGTAATTTCCATGGTAAACCGTTCAGCTAGTGTGACTATGTAGCACTTGGAAAGTGTTTTTTACAAAGGAACTGAGGTGTGAGGACGAAATGAGGGAACGGTGCTCAACCATTTGGACCAATCGGGGAACGCGCGGCGATCATGGGCACTTACCAGCCCAGGTGAATGGGCACTTGTACCGACAAGGCACCACACAAGGCACAACAAGCCGCAACCATTTGATGGACCGCCTGGAGGCCCAACTCGCGGTCCATTTTCCCGCTAAGGTGCCCCGGTCCTGATCCAGGAACACTATACCTCCTCAGCTTACTTTTGAAGTGCTGTCTTGAAGGTCTCGGCAGTGGATTGTTTTCACAATTGCTGATTGTTACAGCTTTTTGTCAGGCTTGTAGCTGGTGAGTTACAGTTAAAGCTGTATTGTTACAGCTTTTTCTTTATCCAGTGGTGGCGCCTTTGACCGGTTACGGCACCAGGGATTACTACCAAAGATGAAAGCAGGTGACAGTCATGTCTGTGTACACCTGCAAGTCATGCACTAGCTGCACCTGGCTGGTAGCCACGTGTATTTGTGTATCACGTGTGTTGGATGGTCACGTGTGTCGGATAGTCACGTGTATTTGATTGTCACGTGTATTTGATTATCACGTGTATTTGATAGACACGCGGGCCTGAGTCACGTATACCTGGCCGTATATAATAGATACAGTGAAGGGTGATGACGTTCTGGTATACCGGGTTGGTGGCTGACGTTCCACAAGAGGCCGCCAGGTGGCTGGAGGGCGCCACTGTGCCCGAGCCTTAAAACGTAAACATCACCAACCTTTTTATAAAATACCTAAATTATACGGGGGAAAAACACATGCGTAACGGCGCATTATTAGGCTATGTAATGGTAAATATTTATGTTAATAAAAGGAGCCAAAGGGGTAGGTGTGGTGGCCGGATTTATGAAGCTGTTACCCTTGTCAAACTATTTTTAGGTCGGTATCCCAATGGGTCACAAAGATGTCGCTCAATATCTCGTGACTGTGTACATTTTTCTGCCAGTTATCTATGAAGTCCTAATGTGTCTGTACGATTCCTTGTTGGGCTTTGCAGTGGGTGGAGATGGAAGTGAAGTTCAATGTTAACTTTCATGTAAGTTCCTATTTCTACCCTTGAGGCTCGTGAAGTTCTTTCAGGGGCAGGCCTGGAGCCAGATTCACGAAAGCACTTACGCAAGCACTTACGAACGTGTACATCTTTCCTCAATCTTTGACGACTTTGGTTACATTTATTAAACAGTTTACAAGCATGAAAACTTCCCAATCAACTGTTGTTATTGTTATAAACAGCCTCCTGGTGCTTCGGAGCTCATTAACTGTTTAATAATTGGAAACAAAGCCGCCAAAGATTGAGAAAAGAAGTACAGGTTCGTAAGTGCTTGCGTAAGTGCTTTCGTGAATCTGGCCACTGGTGAATAGTAGAGCCCAGTTAGTCCCCTCCTGTTTAAAGCCTCGTGTATTGTGGCTACGTGGATTTTCCTTGAATAAAAAGACAGGTGCATTTTCGCTCCCAGATTTTTATTTATTCGTGGGGAAGCAAGAGAAACTGTTCTGCCTATACACCTTCATGAGACAATTGAATTAAGGACATTTGAGCACGTGAAGCAATTGAATTAAGGACATTTGAGCACGTGAGACAATTGATAGTGTAAAGGGACAGATCCCTAGAGGTGGAAATGGCAATAAAAGTTGATGGTGAAAGATAATGGTAAGACTCCTTCAATAGAGCTTCAATGGCTCTTTCGGGAGCCCCCGTGACTACTCCAATGGTCTCCGACTCCTTCAATAACCTCCGAGGTCCCTGTGGCAGCAGCCAAGAGGGGCTGCGGCCACAGGGTAATCCCTCTTCTCTGGCCCCCGTGACCAGACAAAGAGACCTTCAAAGTTGCCCAACGGTCAACTTTATTCCTCCAAGGAGTGCCGGACCAACCGGGCTGTGGTGGGTATGTGGGCCTGCGGGCCGCTCCAAGCAACAGCCTGGTGGACCAAACTCTCACAAGTCAAGCCTGGCCTCGGGCCGGGCTTGGGGAGTAGAACAACTCCCAGAACCCCATCAACCAGGTATCAACCAGGTAACCAGGTCCTCTAGTGAGATATAAATTGGAGCTTCCTCCTATAAGCCTTCTGCACTGTGCATATTTCTTATAATGAAAAGCGGCCA